GGACACAATTTAGATGCCACCGCTACACAACTGGCGACGTCAAAAAGTTACCGTTAAAACAAGTTTTTTCTCAAAGAATTTCCACATTTGCTTAAATTCATTGTTTAGTACTGGAGGTTATGGGCATTTCCATTAACATCTGTAAACTAGTAACCATTTTGGGATATTTAATCATCCGAGGTTGCTAAATAGTAAATGGGAGCAGGTGTTTAAGACTAATTCTCTTGTCCTGTATGCAGTATAAACGACATTCTGGGCGATACGCCGCAACCAACTTTGCATATTTATTCCTGTTTCCAAGAAGTGACCTTCCAATACCCAGAAGTTAGTTAGGAACTGCGGTAATAAAGACGGGCAACGATACGAGGAATGAAAAGTAAGGACAGTGCCTGCAATATGTACAGAAATGCAAGTGCATAATCGAAGGACTATCAAAAAAATATGTGCTAAGAACATTCGATTTCCTACGAAATACACATGACTTAGGACTTTCATTTTCCTCCCTACTTCGAGGCATGATTGATTCATTAGGCGAAGTGAAACTCACAAAGCAAAAAAAGCATAACCAGCTCAATTATTTCTTGCGAGGGTGGTTGATTCAAGATAGTCGAAATACATTCAGTCGAAACTCAGCGTGCTACCCAATAAGGAACAGTACATTTTCAAATTGTCATCACTGGTTCTTAAGACACAGTGTTTTGGCTACAACTCTTTTGCTTAAACACCCCTAAGGTCGATTAGGCGTACGGTGGACATCATGACTAGCCAATAGAAGCGAAGGCGTGAGTTCCAGGAAGCGGACGCGAAAAATGAGACAATTTCACAGCAGCAGCAGCAGCAGCTTTACTAGCCTAAAGTTTTGTATTCTCAATAAAATCCATCATTAAAGCCGGAGTCAGCTAAAGGTGGTGGTGGATTGTGCGGTTGCCGCACCGCTTATGATGGCAGAATTACTTCGGACACGCAAGAAAGGCGAACTGCCGTCTTCGATCACTCCCAGGGACTTACAGCGCATATAGTATGTAGGACTGCGGCTCGGCACAAGGAGGGATGGCTTCTTGCGGTGCAGGCCAGTAAGGTGTGTTTGCTACAATTTGGTTAGTCAGTCCAGCACACACACACACATTTTCTCAAACGGATAGAATATCTGACTGTGATTAGCCGTCGTGTGAGCTGCTGAAGAGACCTTTCGCCACCAACCACAGCCACAGTCACCGACAATCGATAATTATGAGGGCTGTCGCACTGATTATAGCGTGAGGAGGCTGTTAGGAAGATTCCGTTTCGGGTGAAGGGCCTGCAAGTGCCTCTGGCAAAACGGCACCAATTAAGTCCAATTAGACACGCAAAATGTTGCGTCGTATCCAACCACATTATAATTTATAGAGATTCTGATGCAGGCTCATCTTAGTCTCAAATTAATGGCAACAAGCTAGAAGTAGATAGAGGGCAGATTTAAATTACAAAAACGTAAAATATTAAGTATTAAAGGATAATTTTATAATTCGCAAATAATAATTTAGTTAATTTGTGGGTGGTAGACCAATGCCAAGGTAATTTTTTTTACAAAAGTCCTGGTTTTATGATAAAATACAAAAATATGGGCGTTTACTAAGTGTTTACGAGATTCCCTAGTCCCGTTGAACCTTGGGGGTCTATTCTCGAGCTCCACCAGCAGCTTTATAGCGGCTACTGATATAGACAGAATGACATCACCGACAAAGGGCAAGAGAGAGAGAGAGTGAATTTGCCATTTCTGTCTTGTTGCCCGTCATTGGCCGGCCATACCAGTGTTAATAATTTTTGCTATCGAAAGCGGCAAGGCATGTACATAAATACACAAGATAAAGGAGAGTTTACGTACCCGTACGAATGTGCAACAACAATTACATGGAAGGTCTCCAGGTCCTCTTTCTTCTGTCCGTTTGTGCCCTCGATTTCGGGTGTCTGAATCTGAGTGGCAACATATTTATCGAAAACAGCCTGTACATCCTTGACATGCTCCTCAAAGTGGCATTGCTGACGTAAAGGTTTTGTTGTAGGGCATCTGCAACAAACACCTATGGAGTTCTCATTCGCCAGCAGCGAACTGTCGCCGCACAAAAGGTAGTTTGCTCTTAGTGGGCTGTTTCCATGACCAGCCAGATCCATGACCACCGTTTGGTAACCCTAAATCGAATTCAAAATATTCCTCTGCAATTCAGGGTACAAGAGGATTACTCAAAAGTTAAGAGTACCCTAGTGTGGTGAGTGCCAAACTTCACAATTAACTTATCGGGTTTGCAACAGCTCTTGGAAAAAGACAAAGCATACAGTCGAAGACTTTCAAAAGTGAAAGTCCCGTTATAATGCCTCGTCGAATTTCTCACACCCTCGTCATGTAGAACTGACTCTAGACACATCAATTAACGACCGGAAAAAGTTTCAAGGATAGTAATCTACGTTGAAGTGCAAAATATTTTTTTGACAGTTTACGGATTTCTTATGTCACCTAGACCGAACTAACCGATCGTATAAGGTGATGGCAAAATATGATGTATGTGGTGCTTATTTCGCCCTATACGAATAATTAATCTTGATCTATTACTCAAAACAGCAGTGATTGTGTATTTGCAGCGAAGTAGTATGGAAAACATTAAATGCACTGTCAACTCTTGAATTCTTCAAACTAACATAAAAAGAGCCCCAAATAATCCAACTATTTAGATCGCCCCGTTACTTTAAGCACATTTTAAAAAGTGAAGATTCGATCGCTGGGACAACACTCTGATTCGCCTGACGTTTCGATATCCGTCGCGGATTCTTCATCAGAGGCGTAAGCAGAAAGCAGTGGCAGAGACACCCAGCATATTTAAAAATCCTGAATTATGCCGACATCTCTATAATTCGTGGAGGGGATCTTCTACGAGAATCTGAGAGCTGTTCAAAAATTGTGATTTCGCAGCCACATATGCATGTATTGTGGCAAATGGGGTACACCAATCAGCTAGAGGACACATTCGTTCGTCTATGGTGCCTTTGAAGCTCATACTCGGGCCTACGCCGCAAAGCGGCAAAGACAAGGAAGACTAAGATGGTCATTTTTGGCTTATTAGCCATCGTCAGCCAGTCATGTCCAGGCCCAAGTGGT